ACTACCCCACGCAAGAGTGCTCAACTGCTACAAGAGCAGGAGCGAAATACTCAATCTGCGGACAGCATGCTGTTTCGTTCTTTTTGAACTCATCAGCGCAGCACAGAGGAAATGAGGCCGAACCTGACAGCAATGGAAATAAAAATTTCCAATCAGGCCCGAACGTACCTTGCCAGAGTGCTCAAACTGACAAGTCAGTGAGCTCTGCATAACGCAAACATCAAAGGCACTACCCCACGCAAGAGTGCTCAACTGCTACAAGAGCAGGAGCGAAATACTCAATCTGCGGACAGCATGCTCTTTCGTTCTTTTTGAACTCATCAGCGCAGCACAGAGGAAATGAGGCCGAACCTGACAGCAATGGAAATAAAAATTTCCAATCAGGCCCGAACGTACCTTGCCAGAGTGCTCAAACTGACAAGTCAGTGAGCTCTGCATAACGCAAACAGCAAAGGCACTACCCCACGCAAGAGTGCTCAACTGCTACAAGAGCAGGAGCGAAATACTCAATCTGCGGACAGCATGCTCTTTCGTTCTTTTTGAACTCATCAGCGCAGCACAGAGGAAATGAGGCCGAACCTGACAGCAATGGTAATAAAAATTTCCAATCAGGTCCGAACGTACATGCATACATGGCACTGTGACTCCGAGACCCATGATCGGCAGAGTCCATGTATTTCATCGCCACAGCTATCAACTGGCATTGTGGATAGCGCCTATCCAGTACTTATTGTCTTTTACATGGTTTGTAGGTTTGTGTTCTCTTAAAAAAATCTTTTTAGGTACGATTGTAGCATCATGCTTGACAAACAACGGATATTTCAATGGACTGCGTACCTGCGCCATCTACCGGTGAAAGTAGCAGCAAGTTGCGCAATTAAGATGACACTGCGTTCCTCGGTGGTAGTCACGTGAGCGTAAAGCCAGGTACTGTACAGTCATGTAGTTTGCCATTGCACGTAGATAGATGCGTCCGTGCTCGCTCCAAGCAATAGCGTGTGGACCTCCTAGAGGAAAGCCAATAACAGCTGCCCAGTACTGTTTGACACATCATATCCCCTCAGTGCGCCCTCAGGCCAGCAGTGAGATCTCCACACCAAAAAAACTGTTGACCTCGTGTCAAAATGGTGAGCCATACATGAATTAGCAAGTTGCGAGCAAGTCACTTAGCTTAGTATCCGTGAGACGTTGATGTTGCTCATTGCGGAAACCAACACACGGAGAGCGTGGGGCTGGGCAGTCCTGGAATACTCAGCAGCACTATAGGACAATATACCGTGGTCGGCTGTCAGGTACATTGCAGTCATATACCCTACAGTAACATGTCTCAGTATTACTGTTAATATGTCCAGCGGGAGGAAGGCTCTACGATAAGTGCTGCAAACTGTAGAACAAAGTCCGTAAGCTGGGATTTAGCAAGACGGTTTACTATCGCCCGGCTGCTGATTGAGAGGCGAGACACTCACTCGGATACATGCAGAACATTTCGAGAAAATGCACAAACCACATCTTTGATGATGGTGTCAGGGGATTCTGGGGCAGTCGCTTCGAGCGCTTACTTACTGACGTACTACTGTAGTACAGTTTTAACCCTCACTCTGCCTCGCACCGCGCGGTTCCATTGCACCACTGTGCTGTTTTCTGAAATCGATATTATAGGAAACATAAAGGGAGTGCTAAGAGCGGGTCCAAAATATTCAACACGCGTCTGTGAGCTGTTATTATTAATATTAATCGCGTTTCCGTGTCAATGTCAGCAATTTCTACATGATAGATGCCCACAGATTCGCATATGCTGAATGGATACGGGAAGAGGACAGCCAACAATAGACAACACGACAAGGGTCAAGAAAAACAGACCAATAGCTAGCACGAGGCACAACATCAAGGCACGACAGGCAGAGTACTGCTACAAACGACAGTTTTAGACAGACAAACAAATGCCAGGACGAAAAATTGTTGCGCCGGAAGAAAACGACAGAGTTCCCAGCACTATGAGATCCCCGACGTTAGCCGCAGACGGAGCGGCACAAGGCAGCCCACTGTCCTCGGTCTCGGGACAAGTCTCTGCGGGAGTGCAGGCCAGACAGGCCTATGTTGCCTTGCCTCCCTGCACCACGGAGGTCCCGGGACAGGACAGCCGGCGGTTTGTAGGTGGTCTGCCACGCCGAAGAGAAGCTTTCACATGGAAATAACTCGCCATTTCCATAACAGGTGGACATCCGTCTGGCAGACGTAGTACGTGAACGAACAGCCTCCAACCTCCTTTTTTGATCCGGCTTATCGGGTGCGCTGCGCCCCGCTTGTAGAGGGCGCTGTTATTGATTGATTTTGCCGGAGCTGCCTGCGGTGGAACGAGTCCAGCCGAGCTTCACCAGTATTAATTATTTAATGGAAGAAGAAAACATATGGAAACGGGCTTTGTAAGAACTATCCACGACGGTAATATGATAACAAGCGGTCAGAAAGTTCGATAACAGGGCACAAAACGGACAATCCACTGAGACATTCAACAACGTAAGCCCTAGCTCTAACACATCTTCAGTGTGCAATCCAACAGGCTTCCAACTTGGAAGGTACAATGTTGCGTACAACCAAGGGGGAAGATGAGCTCATCCTAAATGTGCACAATCTCAGTCCCACGACCACAAAGAATGCCGACTGTTACAGGACGATGACCAGACCAGTTGAAAACATGGCAATGCGGTCTAGCTACAATTCGAAGCAGCCAAGCAACACACCACCCAACTTAGTGGGTCAGTAATATCAGAGATAAGAAAGCGGGAAAACGAATGTAAGAATGTACATGCATGTCAATGACGACAATATGGTCAAACCACGATTCAAGGACGCAAAGCAACATTCTACACCACTTGTGTTGCTCAGAAGACGCGAAGAGCAATAAAAGGGGAAGTTATGCGAACAAGAATCATGCAAAATATAACCTCTCCGTAAAACTGCACCGTACTTCGACTATAACAATTTAGATGGACAATAAGTAGCGGTAACAAGTAGCAGTTTCACACGACGATCGTTTCGGCGTATAGATAAGGAGGGCTCATCAGGTGCGCAAGCATGAACTCCTGTGGAGAGACAGTGTTTAATTAATAGAAAAGAAAAGAGGACGAAAGAACTACAATTTACATTATAATGTCCACTAACACCACCAGTTACGAAACAATCAGCTCATGCGATAACACTGAACGACACTGACCGACTGTACTGACGTCCTACAACTACATGTAACTGGCTAACAGCCCTAGCACATCCTGGATGCGCACTCCAATATACCTCTAACTTGGAAGGTACTAAATGGAAGTGTCCTGAGGAGGAAGGAGGAAACTGTAGTTATTACCAGCCCTCGCGGCGCCCAGCTTACGCCGCTGCCGCGTGCGACCTCTGCTTTCCGCCTAGCCGTGCAGTATGGAACTGTCCTCAAGCCAGTCACGTAATTGACAGCCCAGTGACCTGTCTCCACATCGCAGCGCTTAGAAGCGCCACATGCGGCAGGGCCAGTCTCAGGCTGGTCGCGTAGGCGGCAGGCCGGCGGGCGACCGGCAATGCTGCATTCGCTTTTGGATCAACGAAGTGATACAGGTGCTTGGATCATGGACTGCACCCCGTGGCGCATCAGGGAGGCATCTGGGGCCCATGCAGCCCATAAGCGCACCACCGTTTCAGGTCTGCGCAGGTGGTGGGGGGAGTGATAAGTTATTGTAGTCTGATTTTTATTTTGCCCAGTTTCGAATGACGAAACTGGAGCAAACTGTCATAGTTGGCGAATAAGGCCTAAAGTGAACAATTAAATGTTCACCCGTTCCAAATTCGCGATTCTCGCATCCTTAACTATGTTACTAGTACATACACAAAATTTAAAAGAAGATCCCCAGATAGGCGTTAGCCTTTGGGTAATACTGAAATAGATAATTCTTATATTATTATCTCGCTCGACGGTTGCATGTTGATCGTATATTCCGTCCTGTGTTCCGTAGTTTTCCTGCCCATGTAACTTTCCTTTGTCTGGTCGGCAAAAAAAAAAACTCAATATGACCGACGCCTTCGAAATCTCTTCAAATCATTTTCATCTACTTGAAATATTGGTTGACCTTTCTAGGTATACATACTTGCCGTTGTGGTACCTCATCAATAAGAAATCAAAGGTATATGGCAGACGAAAGAGGAAGAAAAATTAGGAATAGTCACGATATTTGAGCTGAATCCATGACACTGCTGGCTGTTCTAGAGTTATGTCATTCTCATCGATGTAGTGCTCAATTCCGCGCTTTTCTTTGTGTTTCGAACCGAATGCCGTTCCATTATAATGTTCGTAGAGTATTTCGCCCAATGTACGTTCAGTGATGTTCTTTTTCTTTTGCTGTTGTTGCTGTCCCCACACAGGCTATTTGTTTTTGCTGGGTGCGTGTGTATGTTGGTGTGCATGTAAGTGAGGTGTATTAGGGGTGGGAGCATGTATGGTGTGGCTGCACACAGGAGTGAGCAACAGACTAAAAAAGGAATTGACCTGAATCTGATGAATCATATTTCAGTATTAAATCCCAAAGGTTCAACACGCTCGGTGTCAAATGATACTGCTGGCTGTTCTAGAGTTATGTCATTCTCATCGATGTACATGTATTGCTCAATTCAGTGCCTTTCTTTTGTTTCGAACTGATTGCCGTTCCATAATAATTATTATTGTTCATTTCGCATTTCACCCAATGTACGTTCACTGATGAACGTAGCTGGAAAACCGTTCCGAACATTTCCTCCTTTTACTTTTGTACATTAACATTTTATCTCTCTAACATGTACTTTATAAGAAGAAATGAGGACCAAGGAACTACAAGTTACGCTGTAACGTCCATTAACATGTCAATTAATCATTGGCTCTCCACCCGAGTGTAACATGTCTTTTAGTTTTGCATCCTGCATCAATACTGGGTACCTCACAGTCTGTCCTCTTGTTTGCGGTATTAAAGTTGCTATCTCCGAAACGCTTGTGCAAAGACGGCGTAGATATACCAAACATACATGAGGCGCCGAAACAACTGCTGCAATGCGTGTTAAAATGCAGTGCTTGTTTCAGTGTGACCGAAGGCTAATAATAATTTGTAAACAGACTGTATAGCGATAGCAACTGGAAATGATGCGTTCAAATAACTACTGGATTGAGTTTAGGTGAGTTGCCTATCAGCAATTGTTTTATGTGTAATGAAGCTGCGAGAGGCAGTATTTTTTCTACAGTATTATAAAGCACGAGAGTTTGAACAAAGCGACAAGGCATTTAGTCCAGAGCATTGCAAACATGCTAATCCGATCACCAGTCCGAGCCTCAGTAGCATACAGAGAAAGCTCACCAAAAAAAGGTTACAACAAACTGCCAGGCCAAGTACCTGACATCTGTATGGCTAAGCTTCGGGAACAGATCGGTTTCTATCAATACAGAACAAAGAGAATCCTGTGCTGCTAAAACATGATCATCTGCAAGCATCATGTCACACACCCTGACAAAAGCTAGACCTATCTTCTGGGGTAAGGCTGTGAACTGATAAACAAAACTAACAATAATGCAAAGTTTATATTCAATCTAAGTATGAACAATGCAAGGCACCTAAACAGTGTTTTTGAATCTTATCTTGGTTGTGGGAAAGAAATGATTACAGGTATAACAACTCGCTTTGATTTGCCATTCCAGAAAACTTCATCATTCTATAATAATACATGAATAGAGGTTTACTCCATAAAATGTATACCGCTGCCCGGGGTAGATATACACGTCATTCAGTGATCGGGGCGTGGTGGTGGTGGTGGGGGGGGGGCAATAGTCGTTTGTTTGTCGGTTTTATACTATATTTGAATTCGCTAATCCAAACGAGCACAAATGCTCAATTGCAAGGCAGCAGAAATGTCATTACGTTACAGGGAAGGATGGTTGGGGAGAAAATAAAGAGAAAAAAGAGAGTGGTGGTAGGGAGAGATTGAAACATGCAAGTGAGTTGATCACAGGTGGAAATGAACTAATGGTCGTGACTCGAAAGCATGTCGAAAGCGGTGATACGTCAACCTTGCTTTCTGTCACGAACAACACCATGGTTGTCGGGGGCATCATAGATGTGTTCGGCTTTGATTCCGTCAGCAGTGTTCTGCAACACATTGATCATAGAGTTGACATCATCAGGAGAAACAGAATCGCAATAGCAGCTCCTTTCTTTCTGTTTGAATGTGTGACTGCAGTAAGGGGCCTTCCTTAAATACCGATATTTATTTAGAAACGACAACTAGTCGTTTCTCTTCACCCCACCTCCCCCTCACTGAGAAACGAACACATTCAAATTGTACATAGTTTCGATATCAATTTTTGGTCTTTGTTTGGACATGCTCATGCTTGCAAAATGTACATGGATATTTTTCCCCTAGTTTTCGTTTCTAATATATATAATATGACCAGTGCTCTGCGAAAACCGACCTTAGGTGCTATTTTGGCGAAATTGAGTTTGTGCTGGATTGTTGACCCATGACCCTTTCTTCAACTTCTGGTGAAGTTTTAGGTGGATTGCATACATATTCAGTTAGATACAATGACAATTTCTTTGCAATTTTTCTGCAATTTTTGGAGGAAAAATAGCAAAAATCCAGGATTTTATGCTACATTTTGGAACCAATGCTGTGAGAATTCAAGCAGGATGATTGCAACCAAACTTTGCAGAATAAATCTGTATGTCATAATCCTCAAAAGGAAAGGTTTATGATGGCATTGGATCTTCCTGTTGTGGAGATAGACACATTCTATCTCTGTTCTGTGGATGGTGTTGCTCACGAATCTGGTGGGAGAGGTATTTGGCTCTGTTTGAGGATATGCCAGCCGAAATGATGCGTAGAGGCAGGTGCAAAGTAGTGAAGAAGCTAGGATTAATGCCGGGTTAAAGGATATTGATAGTTTTATCTGGTACTGGTAGTTAGAACATCTAGTTATGTCTACATCAGCCACACACATTGTTTCGTAATCGGTGATATCAAATCCAAATCTTGCCAAACGTACTGTATGCAGCTTTGCCACCAGGCTTTGTGAACGCCTGGTGAACAAGCTTCTTCGTAGTGATACTGGGCAAATACATGTGGGTTGGTACTGGCTTGTTGTGCCCATGTGGAGCCGATGGTTATTAAGGGAGGCCATGAACTATAGCATAATACTAGCATAGCATAATGCTCTATAAAATGCTTCAGCTCCACAACATCTTCCACAGGCAGTGCATTCCAGAGTTCTGTGTTGGGCTGATTTCACTTGCACTGACAGCAGCCTGTAGATTTCAGCACCCAGGCCTGGAGGCACACACAAAGACTTCCTGACATGCATGTACATGACTTCCACACCAGCCACTGACTGTACTTCAGTAGTTCAGAGTAGTATTGTTGAGCCCCATCTATCACATCTCCCAGCATGCTGGACGCACTGGGTAGCCTCACCACGTCTCCTGAGCACGTCTAGCTTTCCGCCTACACACAAGCAGCGATCTGTCTTTGTGCGCTGTAAGTGTAAGCAAGGTTTCAAGTGTCACGCTCTTGAAACAGCACCAGTGCGGAACACCTACAGCGCTTGTCAAACTTGTCACGCGCCTCCTGGATTGTAGACAGTACTTGAACCGATTTTTCTTGGTCTGCACTCTGTATATTGCCGGCATTGAGGGGCTGGGCTGGTGGCAGAACCGACGCCTGATCGAAATTCTCCTCCGCATCACCGACCAGCTCGATCAGCGTTACGTCCTGCGATAATCGTGCGATTCCACATCCGACTCTCCTCGGCACTGCTGTCATCAGAACTGCGATTGGACCAGGCCAAAAAAATGACTATTCATCGTGAAGGATTTCGGCTAAAACCTCTGGGGAGAAGCCCACAGCAATTTGAGCTAGCGACCGTCTTCTGCTTCGTTCCGCCATGACTCTCACTTTGTAATCTTCAAAAATCGACAGATCGTGACGTTTTGTTCTTTTTCTCGAAAAAATTACGAAGCACCTAAGGTCGGTTTTCGCAGAGCGCGGGTCATATATATATTTCCAATCAGGCCCGAACGTACCTTGCCAGAGTGCTCAAACTGACAAGTCAGTGAGCTCTGCATAACGCAAACAGCAAAGGCACTAACCCACGCAAGAGTGCTCAACTGCTACAAGAGCAGGAGCGAAATACTCAATCTGCGGACAGCATGCTGTTTCGTTCTTTTTGAACTCATCAGCGCAGCACAGAGAAATGAGGCCGAACCTGATAGCAATGGAAATAAAAATTTCCAATCAGGCCCGAACGTACCTTGCCAGAGTGCTCAAACTGACAAGTCAGTGAGCTCTGCATAACGCAAACAGCAAAGGCACTACCCCACGCAAGAGTGCTCAACTGCTACAAGAGCAGGAGCGAAAGACTCAATCTGCGGACAGCATGCTGTTTCGTTCATTTTGAACTCATTAGCAATTTTTTTTGTTTCCATTGCTATCAGGTTCGGCCTCATTTCTCTGTGCTGCGCTGATGAGTTGAAAAAGAACGAAACAGCATGCTGCAAACAGCAAAGGCACTACCCCACGCAAGAGTGCTCAACTGCTACAAGAGCAGGAGCGAATTACTCAATCTGCGGACAGCATGCTGTTTCGTTCTTTTGGAACTCATCAGCAATTTTTTTTATTTCCATTGCTATCAGGTTCGGCCTCATTTCTCTGTGCTGCGCTGATGAGTTCAAAAAGAACGAAACAACATACTGCAAACAGCAAAGGCACTACGCCACGCAAGAGTGCTCAACTGCTACAAGAGCAGGAGCGAAATACTCAATCTGCGGACAGAACTGTTTCGTCCTTTGTGGACTCGTCAGCGCAACACAGAGGAAATGAGGCCATATATTTACGGATGACCTCTAACAAGGTATCTACATAATGCATGAACTTAAAGCTTTGAGTTGAATAAGGTATGTGCGTAAGCTGCTTCACATGAAATACTACCATCATTGCATCGCACTAATGAATAAGGATTGTAGGAAGTCAAAACCACTATTGGTCCGTTCCCATGCCTTGATTCTACCGTTAAGAGAATCATGTTGAAGTGGTTGGACATGGGACAAGGCATCACGATGGCTAGCCCCGCCATTTCTTGGAAGGAATGTTCCCTGTATCAAGACCCCGTGGTCGGCCTCTTGACAATTAAATCACCAACAATAAAGATTTGACTAATGAATAGTACAATTCTCTTTCTCTCGTCGCTGCTCATAGTGGTATTTACAGGCAGCTTGTGTATCAGCTTAGTTATATAGTTTTGCATTATTTTAATTTTTTCTGCTGTTCATTTGGGCTGCCTTTTGACACGCATGGTGCCCCTACGATCAGACTAGTTATGAGGTAATACATGCAGAAACCAGGCAGGCACAGTGGGTTGATCAAAGACCATGATTGAGGTACGAGAGGCACCTGGTTCAAGTCCTGCAATGGAGTGTTTTTTTTTCAGCCGTGATGCAACCAACAGTCAACTGGGAACTTACGGCAAGGCACAAGGGGTACATAGATGCGGATAATGGGAACTTTCTCGGCACTTGTGCCAGTGGTTGTGGGACTTATCCACTAACCCCCATCGTTAGGCACTGCAGCTGTCGCTAGGGTTTATTATTATTATTAGACACAATCTCATAGCATGTGAGAAGCATAGCTAATGCAGGGACAGAATCCCCTGAGATAAGGACGTTGAGCCAGCCACGGCAATAGTAAGCTAAGAAAACAAAGCAAATATGAATTAAAGCAGAAAATGAATGGAAAATTACAAAGAAAAACGATTAACAGAAGTGAGCACTATCAAAATTCGTGTATCACCCAGGTATTCGAGAATGTTCTTCGATAATAATTATTGCCGGGTGTTAGCGGCTGTCGTGAGTTCCCTTCGGGAACTGGCACGATAATTTCCGTTTATAATTATACCTGCAAATACATACGAATAACTCGGATGGTGAACCAATTAAATTATGGTGAAAAAAGGAGGACAAAATGTTACAAAAAGACTCGGTGGGAGCGCCAAGGATTAAAATTCAGAAAGAGGACCAAAAGTTTACAAGTTATCCGTTTTGTCCAACACAAACGACCGGTTATAAGCAGAATATTGTTGAGTCAAAATGTGCAACAATTTGCACAAACCTGACTGATGATGTCATGAAAATCAATAATACATGTACATACTACATGTACATGTGGAATGGAACTTGTGATGGACTAAAAGACGGCAATAACAAGTAGTGTCACACGACGTACGTTTCGCCGTAAAGATAACGTTCTTTGTTCGTTGTGATATGTAGCTTGCTTTTGTCTAGAGTGCACTCACCTTCCCCTTTCTTACCTTACTTCATAACTTAGAACCTTCCAAATTGGAAGGCTACTGGTTTGCGCATTCTGGACGTGATGCAGCTAAGCATCAGGTCGTTGAATGTCATAACATCATCAGTCAGTTTTGTGCTAAGTGTTGCACATTTTTGACTCAAGGGGGATCCCCCGAACCCAAATAATCATCTCCAAGGCTACATTTAGTGGCGAAGTAGCGACCAAGGCAGTTCGCTTTGGCAGCATTCATACGGATTTAGTGACCAGCGTCATCCATCAAGCATGGTATAGACGAGCCATGACTGGCGCCAGCAGCAGATTTGAGCACCGACCACCATTGCTTTTCTCTCAGGCCTCTGCGTGACAGTTTCCGACGAACTCTCAGTTCCCAGGATGTGCTCGCTTGCACATTCGCGAGGATAGCATCTTCTACTGGGCGCATGAAGCAAGCCTTGTTGGCTTCCCTGAAAATATTGCGTCTCCAGGCCTTCGAAGCCTTGGCTTTAGCGTTCAATGCTGTGGTGCACTCAGGAATCCACCATTTGGGGTCTGCTGGGCGGGTGATGAGCTGCTTGGCAGGGATAAATTTCTGCATGCCGCTGGATATGACGTCACTTAGTGTCCTGCATGACTCTTCAGGGTGGTCAGTCACAAGGGTGGACCAGTCAGTAGTGCGATAGACGGCCCGCAGGCGCCCTGACAGTCTGCCTGATTGTAGCGCCAGACAGGCCTGGAGGTAGCTTGCTCAGCATCAGGGGCGAGATAAAAGTCGGCAAGAACAACCCCATGGTCTGAGCGACCAAGTGGCGCTGTGACAGTGCTGTCGATAGGAACGGGCATGTTGTGAAGGATGCGATTCAGACCCTAGTCGGCTGCAAGACATGCTGGTGGAGGTGATGCTCAACACACAATTCTTCCAAGGCCTCTCCAGCTACAGTTTGTTTGCTGCTGTAGAGCCAAGTCTCGTGGTGGACATTAAAATCCCCAGCTAGCACTATGTGAGTGCCGTGAGTGCAGGCCACGTCTAGTGCAGGTCCAAGATACTCAATCAGACAGGTGTCGTTGTCCGCACAGGATACAGGCCGATACAAGGCACCGATCACAACAGATTGTTGCGTAGAAAGACTGACTGCGAGCCAGAGGACTTCGTGGTGATCAGTGGGAATCTGGTCGCGGTGCACCACTTCATCCTTACAGCAATGGCGCCACCAAATGCATCCCGGTAACATCGGATGGGAGGCGAGTATCCTGGAAATATCGTCTCAGAGGCTACGGTCTGGGCCGAAAACTTCGCTTCTGTGATAACCGCTATATCGACGTTATCGTTGAGCAGTGCTTGCTGCAGCTCTCCCAGCTTGTTGGTAAGGCCAAATGCGTTAGTCACCAGCCAGCTATATTATAATAATTATAGTATAATGTCTGCTATGTCTGCAGGATCTGTTGCTGCGGTGCCGTCTGCAGCTGTAATTGATCGGATCGGCTACAGACTACAATTCTTATGGAGATGGCGGAGAAATTGATGGAGACTAGGGCGATCATGGGAAGACAGGGTGGCATGAACCGACTGTACATACTGACGATGGAGGGTACGTGACAAACATTTCACTTCGTTACGCTTGCGCTTAAAGGCAATGAAGTTCTCACTGGTTTGATACTTCCTATAAATGATACACAAATCTCGCTTCAGTTTCACAGCGCACTTGAGGTCTGCAGTGATCCAGGGTCGGATGCATTCCGCATAGTAGGATGAGGCCTACTGTAGTGTCCGGACCGCGGAATAACTTTGTAAGGCAACAGATGACGACGGATTGCTGGTTGTAGTAAAGCATCAAACAGGACAATGGCATCATCAACGTCGGAATGCCGATGAGGTAATGACCAGTCCGATCGAGACAAGTCTTCATTCACAACCTGACAGACACTTGTAGGCATTTGTTTATACCTGTACTGAGCCCGGGGATGGAGTGACGATTTAGCCGTCGCTTGTGGTGTCGAGCACGATGCAAAGTTGAGCGTACAAACAACCGGCAGGTGATCAGATGTGTGAAGAGGTGCTGCATGATCAACTGAGCGGACATGTCGGGGTTTGTTGGTTACCATCAAGTCAAGACACGAGTTGGCACCCACTGATGGAGTGTATGTTGGGAAATTCAATAGTTGTTGGAGCCCAAAATTGGAAAAAACTGTCTGTATGTTGGTACGTTGGTATGTTGGTACCGACTGTAGAGATGGAGTCAGAAGAGCACCAATCATTGTGTTTTGCATTAAAATCCCCCGTCAGGAAGAAGTCACACTCGTCATAGCAAAAGGACTGTATAGCGACGACCAGCATATCCGAGAAGAAGGACAATTGTTCCACCGTTTGGGAAGGGGGTAGATACATGCAACATACAAGAATATGTTTAGGGGCATTGAGACTTGACTTCCACTCAGGCAGATTCACAGGCCTGACGCTACAGGTCAGGTCTGTGTGATCATGTTAAAAAGCATCAGTCCGGACAAGCACGGCGAGACCACCATATCCTCTAGTGAAAGCGTGTGCATTACAGTTGTCGTGTGCTGGTCTGTCTTTTCTTAAACAGGCATAGCCCAGTACATGCACGGAAACAGATGGGCACAGCCAGGTCACCGTGAGGCAAACAATACTCCGCTTAGTGCTCTCCAGAACAATCGAAAGTTCAGCAAATTTATTGACCAGAGAGCGACAATTCACAGTTTTCAGCAATAGGTCGGATTCTGAGCTGAAAATGGGGTGGCATCCAAGTTGAGGGAAGACATAGACAACATGATTATGACGAGGGATTATCAGCACCACGTTCAGTCACGTTGGTACCGTCGGCAAAATGCAACTTACGGACGGTGTGGTCAATTGTTTCCGGCCAAAATCCTGTACTGAATATTTTGCCTTAACTGGCTTCAAATACTCCTCTGACCGCTGCTTGTCTGTAAGTGAAGTCTTCCACGCCTTGTCTTGCGTCCTTTCGAGCGAAGCAAGCAAATCTCGCTTTGCTTCCGCATAGGCACTGCAGCCAATACAGTTTTGTTTTTTCACGGCTGAGCGTAGCGAAAGAGTGCAAAAAACGTATTTTTCACTCACAAATATTTTCGTGCATTTGCCATTGTTCTGCGCAACTCCGTTGAACCTGCCATCGTGGTCTTTGTTTTTCCTCGTGGTAGTTGAAGTTGCCCGCCCACCCACCCTGGTTTCATGCGAGTCGTCCGCTGTTCTTCTTGACAATCTATGCCTATGTGTGTGCCTTATGATTATGACATACACCGGTTATTACATACCATTTCTTGCTATCTCTATTCTTGGGTCTGACTGGTAGCGGGGCAGGAATTAATGAAATAGAAAGGTTTTTTGGCCGAAAGGCGTGTTTTTCCTCTAGCCCGGTTGAGCAGTCGCGGCTAGGAATGTAGGGAGTCATTGTTTTTCAGTCGCTCCCCTGCTGCCCAGTCGCCCATGTTCACCACTGGCCATGCTGTTTCACTTGATTTCACGGCCTTTTCTCCCGCTTGCTGGCGGTTCTTTGATGGATTTAGATGTTTTTCGGCTATTTATCTATTATGTGGCTGCGAGTGTGTTTTTTGCTTCTACTCATTTCTGGAAAACCACCATGGTGGTGTGTGTGATTGCTCTGGTCGACCACTACCCCATGTACTGAACAGTCGCTTTGTGAGTGAAAAGTTCCTTTTTACCGTGCTACCCGTTAGCGCGATACGCAATCGCAGCAGCGATTCGTTTTCGTCGAGCTCGTTCTTGGCGGAGATGTCCTCGAACAGGTCGAGATAATGCTCCAGTGGCTGCCTTCCGTCGTATGCGGGACTTGCATTAAAGACCTACGCCCACCGCTGTGACTGGTAGTTTCCACTGTACCTCCCATCAACCTCACACGCGCGGCGTCACCATTACCTTCATACAACCTGGCGATGCGCTCGTTCATCTTCTTGAGCTCTTCGTTAAACTGTATGCCTAGCGCACCCTCTTGCCGTTTGGCACGGCGCTCTTCAAGCTCCTCGCACTGTTGGAGCTTCTTCTCCGCGTACTCCATCAGCCTATATCGCCTTCAAATCCATGCCGAATTCCGTTGTCGATAAAGCTCGCTTCCAAATTATGCAGTCCCTCTGCCATGCTCACTTCGATCCTGGCGTAGTCGCCAAATATTCTGAACCCTTCTGATTCTCTTAAAGTGTCAGGGACGAACGACCACACGGCACAAGGTCAACTATTTATTCGTCAACGATATTTCGCTTGATCGAGCAATAACTAACACTTAAACCACCATGTTCAGGTAGTTAAAACGTGAAACTGACAGTGTATATGAGAAAGCAACATACAACTACAGCGCACATAGCAAGTCGCACATAGCGCATGTAGCGTATACCACGTCGTCAACTTCAGCGGTACAGCTGAGTCGAGATACAACTGCATTGAAACGAACACAGTGTCACTCTTGAGAATTTGTGGTTTCATAACACTCCCAATACACTTCGCACCAAGAGTACATAGCTCCCAAGAGTGTGTAACTCGATTATGGGTTTATGGCGGCAGGTCGGTGGAGCACTCTTCCTCCAAACTGTCGTCCGGCACAATTTGCTGGTACTTTTGCTCACCTCCCAAAGATTCACCTATGATTCCCTGTAAAAAGGCCATGCCTGTTAGGACTCCCTTGTCAAATACTTGTAATAAATACTAGTACTACTACTAGGTGTTGTCCCAACAGAATTTCAAGTTGACGTCATTTTAATGATGCAATGCGCACTTTACACGGATTATCAGAAGAATCCGGAACCTTTGGTGGACCAAAACCTATCTGCTCTGGTACATATTATTACAAAGACAAATCTGTGATGCATTGACACCCTTACAAATCTTGTACATCACTAGTGCAAGTAGCATTGCATCATAAATAATGACTTCAACAACTTGAAATTTTGATAAGACAGCAGAGTATGTGGGAGTTGCACACTCTTGGGGGGTTATGTAATTTTGTTCGCTTACATACACATTCCTGCAAGTTGCTTCACGTTATCATCTTTCAGTTGAAAGCCCTTTTTGAATAAGTTAAATGGTATGGTACGGGAAACGTGCGGGATAGCGCCGGGCATGGCCGACGATGCAATAAACAATTACAAAAATAGAGCTGTGTGGACCTTGGCTAGCACCAGACGCAATGTCTTTTGCATAGCTACCCTATTTGCTACATTTAGATCCCACAGAATGTGATCTTATCATCAAGCAATGAACTCACTGATGGGAGATCTCCTGCAACATCATAGGTGGGGTTGGAGATTGTCGCATATGACGTATGCTCACGCTCTTCTTCATCCTGGGGGGGGGGGATAAACGAATGCAAGTTTCAAATCAAAGTAGCGTAGTTTGACTGATGTACACGATAGGGAGAATCCATGACGTAACACGAAAGGCTCGGCAATCATCTTCAACGGTCAACTGAAATACAAACTGTTGCTGAGAAAGAGAGAGATGGTGGGGGGGGGGGGGAGGGGGGGGGGAAACGATCGATATGATTGTAAAATCCTGCGTGGAACCCTTTCGAAACGCCATGACAATACAAAAAAATTGGTGGACAAATTCGATGCTTCTGTATCTCTTTCGTAATCACTTACATATTATTCAGGAAACCTGATATTGCGAATATCTGCCCGAGACAAGTGTAGGGTGTAGTTACTGATGTTTAGGACCATGACTCTCAAGATGGCCCATACTCACAGCCCGACGCTGTGTCAGAAGCTACCGAACTTCTTATAGCCCTCGTATTGGGTTGTCACCTCAGTCACAAAAGTTCAAAGTCGCAACACGCCTTTCTGTTCCTCCTCGTTCATTCCCTAAACCTCATGAAGTAAATTTAAAAGGTAAACAAACGGAAAAACTTTTTATTTCCTTCCCGGATGTAAGTCTAGACGGTCCCCAGCTTCCTAGATCATCAAGCGGGGGGGGGGGGGGGGAGGGGGGGGGGGGTGAAAGGCAATAATTACGTATGGAAGAAAAGGAAAGGCAGAGGCACTTAAATGCCATTTACTACATTTGACAAGACAAAAATTCACCAATATGGCCCCACACTACATTTATGCTCACCCATTGCGTCGGTTTGCCACACCAGTTATTCTCTACTTCTGTAACTGACAAGGAGGATTCAATACCCACCTTGGGATCTTGGCTTCTTGTTAACTGCGAAGTTGGCTTCATTTCTGATCGATCCAGAACGGCATACTTGATTTCAATGGTTTCATCATCAGTCGGTGACAAAAACTCGCCCAACACGTTCTCACAGCCAATCTTGGACTGGGCCAACTGATAAGGGACAGGAAAAACGAAGAGAATAGCATGGATATGAGTCGTAGAACAACCTAATGAAATCTAGTGAAATCAGGGTCTGTATGGGGGAAGAGGGTAGGGCGAGGGGAAGGGGAGGTTGGAAGGGGAATGGAAAGAAAATCCTATATGCCAGAGTGGAGAGCGGTATACATAGATGCATGATAAATCGTTATTACTGTCAAATTAAAGTTGCTTTCTGACATATTTGGCGCCCTCGACCTGCACAGCCCATTTATGCTGGACGGCTGTACCCACACGTGCAAACTCACTGTGATGTGATCAGAACTGATTTATAGCGTATGTATTGCACATTGAGTGCGATTTCATTGAATGCAACCTTAGAGATATAAAACACTGCATGAAATTGCTAAGCTAGAGACAGGTTCTAAACTACACCCCAAAAGACAAATACCGGTACAACGTCTGAAATTAACAGGCATCATTAGTTATGATAGCTTCTTACCTCTGTCGCTGGTTCCTCGCTGTTGTCGCTGTGTTCCGCTCCCTGTGCGTCTGTGTCCAACTCTGCATGTTTCACGTCTCTTTTACGACTAACAGGCGTGGCATAGGTATACTCCAGTGCACTCGCTCCCGATGCCTGTGGAGAAGAATGAAAAGAGGCCATAATACTAGTAATATATTCCAGGTTACAATCGCATTAGATTGCTGTTTGTTCAAAGCGGGACAGTGCTGGAAGCCATCCACTCACGTATATGGGCATGAATTCACCAATAAAGTGAGACACTGTGCCATCATCCATGAGGGTCCTGCAAACCCCTGCCCATTTGTGCTCTGTTATCTTCTTAATCTTCTTTGTAGAATTGTGTGTTGCTCCCTACATGGGAGCTCGCAGTTTTCTTTCCGACTTGAATTCGCACGAGGCGGATTCACGACTGCTATCCAGAGCATACTAAGTCCATCGAACCGCTCACTCAGCATACCTGCTAGAAAGCACCACTCGTGTTTCAGCTTGAGTGGGCTGATGAAGATTGTGCCAGAAGAGCACCACTAGTGCTATCCAGGCACAAACATCATCAGGGATACAAACTTACACATATGCTCCGTTTCCAGCGCGGCAAACACCTCGTGAATACCAGATAGCAGCGTGAGTCAGTGTCGGTCATGGAGGTGCTGAACAACGTTGTTGCCTCCAAACCATCTAATTCGCAAGCCCGCGCTCGGGAAAACAATGTGAAGAAGAGATTGTTGCGACTTCGGCGATACTTGGGAAAATGTTTGTTGAACCTGGATCTGAGCTCGCGATTTTCCTGCCGATTTGAATCGGAGGCAAGGAGGACTCCGAAACCAGTTTTCGTGCATTTCCGATTAAAGCGATGCTCGAAATCTGGTTAAGAAATTGTTCTGGCCAGTAATTGATGCTGGGCATGAGAAAGCCAAATTTTTAGATTTCATGAATTAATTATAGAACCACATAATTCGTCAAATGGCTTCCGTAGGATATTATAGGAATGTTATTACAGAATGAATAGGGCGCACCCAGTGCAAGCGCCCTAAGCAAACTGACAAAGAATAGTCAATACCCACCTTGGGATCTTGGCTTCTTGTTAACTGCGAAGTTGGCTTCATTTCTGATCGATCCAGAACGGCATACTTGATTTCAATGGTTTCTCCATGAGTCGGTGACAAAACCTCGCCCAACACGTTCTCACAGCCAATCTTGGACTGGGCCAACTGATAAGGGACAGGAAAAGCGAAGACAATAGCAAGGATATGAGTCGTAGAACAACCTAATGAAATCTAGTGAAATCAGGGTCTGTATGGGGGAGGAGGGTAGGGCGAGGGGAAGGGGAGGTTGGAAGGGGAATGGAAAGAAAATCCTATATGCCAGAGTGGAGAGCGGTATACATAGATGCATGATAAATCCTTATTACTGTCAAATTAAAGTTGCTTTCTGACATATTTGGCGCCCTCGACCTGCACAGCCCATTTATGCTGGACGGCTGTACCCACACGTGCAAACGTACTGTGATGTGATCAGAACTGATTTATAGCGCATGTATTGCACATTGAGTGCGATTTCATTGAATGCAACCTTAGAGATATAAAACACTGCATGAAATTGCTAAGCTAGAGACAGGTTCTAAACTACACCCCAAAAGACAAATACCGGTACAACGTCTGAAATTAACAGGCATCATTAGTTATGATAGCTTCTTACCTCTGTCGCTGGTTCCTCGCTGTTGTCGCTGTGCTCCGCTCCCTGTGCGTCTGTGTCCAACTCTGCATGTTTCACGTCTCTTTTACGACTAACAGGCGTGGCATAGGTATACTCCAGTGCACTCGCTCCCGATGCCTGTGGAGAAGAATGAAAAGAGGCCATAATACTAGTAATATATTCCAGGTTACAATCGCATTAGATTGCTGTTTGTTCAAAGCGGGACAGTGCTGGAAGCCATCCACTCACGTATATGGGCATGAATTCACCAATAAAGTGAGACACTGTGCCATCATCCATGAGGGTCCTGCAAACCCCTGCCCATTTGTGCTCTGTTATCTTCTTAATCTTCTTTGTAGAATTGTGTGTTGCTCCCTACATGGGAGCTCGCAGTTTTCTTTCCGACTTGAATTCGCACGAGGCGGATTCACGACTGCTATCCAGAGCATACTAAGTCCATCGAACCGCTCACTCAGCATACCTGCTAGAAAGCACCACTCGTGTTTCAGCTTGAGTGGGCTGATGAAGATTGTGCCAGAAGAGCACCACTAGTGCTATCCAGGCACAAACATCATCAGGGATACAAACTTACACATATGCTCCGTTTCCAGCGCGGCAAACACCTCGTGAATACCAGATAGCAGCGTGAGTCAGTGTCGGTCATGGAGGTGCTGAACAACGTTGTTGCCTCCAAACCATCTAATTCGCAAGCCCGCGCTCGGGAAAACAATGTGAAGAAGAGATTGTTGCGACTTCGGCGATACTTGGGAAAATGTTTGTTGAACCTGGATCTGAGCTCGCGATTTTCCTGCCGATTTGAATCGGAGGCAAGGAGGACTCCGAAACCAGTTTTCGTGCATTTCCGATTAAAGCGATGCTCGAAATCTGGTTAAGAAATTGTTCTGGCCAGTAATTGATGCTGGGCATGAGAAAGCCAAATTTTTAGATTTCATGAATTAATTATAGAACCACATAATTCGTCAAATGGCTTCCGTAGGATATTATAGGAATGTTATTACAGAATGAATAGGGCGCACCCAGTGCAAGCGCCCTAAGCAAACTGACAAAGAATAGTCAATACCCACCTTGGGATCTTGGCTTCTTGTTAACTGCGAAGTTGGCTTCATTTCTGATCGATCCAGAACGGCATACTTGATTTCAATGGTTTCTCCATGAGTCGGTGACAAAACCTCGCCCAACACGTTCTCACAGCCAATCTTGGACTGGGCCAACTGATAAGGGACAGGAAAAGCGAAGACAATAGCAAGGATATGAGTCGTAGAACAACCTAATGAAATCTAGTGAAATCAGGGTCTGTATGGGGGAAGAGGGTAGGGCGAGGGGAAGGGGAGGTTGGAAGGGGAATGGAAAGAAAATCCTATATGCCAGAGTGGAGAGCGGTATACATAGATGCATGATAAATCCTTATTACTGTCAAATTAAAGTTGCTTTCTGACATATTTGGCGCCCTCGACCTGCACAGCCCATTTATGCTGGACGGCTGTACCCACACGTGCAAACGTACTGTGATGTGATCAGAACTGATTTATAGCGCATGTATTGCACATTGAGTGCGATTTCATTGAATGCAACCTTAGAGATATAAAACACTGCATGAAATTGCTAAGCTAGAGACAGGTTCTAAACTACACCCCAAAAGACAAATACGGGTACAACGTCTGAAATTAACAGGCATCATTAGTTATGATAGCTTCTTACCTCTGTCGCTGGTTCCTCGCTGTTGTCGCTGTGCTCCTCTCCCTGTGCGTCTGTGTCCAACTCTGCATGTTTCACGTCTCTTTTACGACTAACAGGCGTGGCATAGGTATACTCCAGTGCACTCGCTCCCGATGCCTGTGGAGAAGAATGAAAAGAGGCCATAATACTAGTAATATATTCCAGGTTACAATCGCATTAGATTGCTGTTTGTTCAAAGCGGGACAGTGCTGGAAGCCATCCACTCACGTATATGGGCATGAATTCACCAATAAAGTGAGACACTGTGCCATCATCCATGAGGGTCCTGCAAACCCCTGCCCATTTGTTCTCTGTTATCTTCTTAATCTTGTTTGTAGAATTGTGTGTTGCTCCCTACATGGGAGCTCGCAGTTTTCTTTCCGACTTGAATTCGCACGTGGCGGATTCACGACTGCCATCCAGAGCATACTAAGTCCATCGAACCGCTCACTCAGCATACCTGCTAGAAAGCACCACTCGTGTTTCAGCTTGAGTGGGCTGATGAAGATTGTGCCAGAAGATCCAGGCACAAACATCATCAGGGATACAAACTTACACATATGCTCCGTTTCCAGCGCGGCAAACACCTCGTGAATACCAGATAGCAGCGTGAATCAGTGTCGGTCATGGAGGTGCTGAACAACGTTGTTGCCTCCAAACCATCTAATTCGCAAGCCCGCGCTCGGGAAAACAATGTGAAGAAGAGATTGTTGCGACTTCGGCGATACTTGGGAAAATGTTTGTTGAACCTGGATCTGAGCTCGCGGTTTTCCTGCCGATTTGAATCGGAGGCAAGGAGGACTCCGAAACCAGTTTTCGTGCATTTCCGATTAAAGCGATGCTCGAAATCTGGTTAAGAAATTGTTCTGGCCAGTAATTGATGCTGGGCATGAGAAGGCCAAATTTTTAGATTTCATGAATTAATTATAGAACCACATAATTCGTCAAATGGCTTCCGTAGGATATTATAGGAATGTTATTACAGAATGAATAGGGCGCACCCAGTGCAAGCGCCCTAAGCAACAATAATGAGCGCTGACAGTAATAATACAAATCCAAAATATCCTGTGACAATCAATGAGTATATTATGAGATACATTTATTTATTATTTATTTATACTTCAAAGTATATTTATTGCAGCATCTCATAGCACAGTGAGAACACCGGCCAATACAAAGAGAGAGGGTCTTAGCCAACCACGGCAAGGAAGGGAGAAGGGGAGGAGAAGAAAAAGGAACGGCATGGATAAGTAGTGATTGCAACAAAATAAGAAACACAAAATCAAAGTCAAGGCGCGACAAGGCTCTTAAAAAGGCGGAGGGAAGAAAGGTCCCTAGCTTCTTGGGGAAGTACACATTCACAACCAGAAAGTAAATTTTCTAACAAGAAGGAGAGGATAACTGGGCCGGATTTACAGAACAATTCGGTGTCCAGTGTAAAAACCTTTTCTGTTTGTGGAAGTCTGGTTTGGTTGTAAACATTGAGATAGATTTCATAACACGTAAATGTCTTTGACTGCGTAAACCAGACACTGTTCTGAGTAAAGTTAACATTGATTCAGCTAACGATGTTCGCCTCCGTTATGTATGTGTTCTTTATTTTACTTCGCAAAGTCGAACGGGATCGTTTTCCAATAATATGATAGCGAAGGGTGGTGGTGGGTGGGGGGGGGGGGGGTTAGCGGACATTGGTGACGAGTTTTTCCACCTCAACTTCGGTATTTATTGCGCTGCATCTGCCACCTTGGTAAAATCATGCACGGTGGTGGCCTGGAACAAGCAACACCTCTCTGAGCTGGTTGTGTTTCTCAACCCAGCCGCAAGCCGGTTATAGCACTGTTGTTTTTTTACAGAATGCACCTCCTATTGATAGACTATACAAAGAGAGGAGAAGAAGAAGACAAAAGAAAATAATGAACGAGACAACAAAGGAGAACGACAGACAATGTACTAGTAGGGGCTCTCAGGGAGCCTGTGCCCGTGAGGCGGGACTAGCAACGCCGACCTAGGGTCTCGGCGTTAGCGCTATCCGGCGCAACATGGGCGGGATTACGAAACAAATGGAAATAAATAAGTGAATGGGAGGGAGCTGGTTGTGGATATACGGGGTGTTACAGCGAGTTTGTAGTATGGGGTGTGCCAGCGAGTCTGTAGCCCGATACCAGCGGCTTTGTCGTAGGTGCTGATACATCTTGCCCTTGAACAACTGGAGAGACGTCAGGCGTGGCGGAGACTGCAGCTCAGTTGGGGGCAAGTTGTTCCACTCGTCAATGATGCTGTAGGGGAAGCAGGGTCACACGTAGTCAGGAGAGGAAGCCGGGAGGACGTTCTGTAGTTGAGACTCGTGGCGCACCGAGTAGTCGGACCGAGTTCGAGGACATGTTCGTGGAGGAAGCAGTGGGGGAACCAGCGACGTTAGTTGCGGCGGCCCTGGCAGACACATCAGCTTTTACATATGGCTGAGGGCGGCGACCAATTTCCTTGCTGCCAAACTCTGGAGCCTCCTCCAGAGTTTGGCAGCAAGGAAATTGGTCGCCGCCCTCAGCTATATGTAAAAGCTGATGTGTCTGGCAGGGCCGCCGCAACTAACGTCTGTGCCAAGAATGTGGAGGGCCGCACAGTTGCGCGAACTTCACCTTTTTTCCATGAAAGAGACCAAGTATCTCCAATATCGGCAAGAAGGTCACGGACTAACAAGTCAGTTCCATTGTCTCGTAACTCGAACTCATGTACTGAGCCTGGTAGTGCTGTCACGGAGTATGAGTCTGCTGTTGATAACTATCTTGTGGAAAATAGTGATTGTCGTTGTAGTTACACTGATGATTGTGTGACGTGTGGTCTCCTTCTCATAGAAAAGCAGCTATCTTTCATAATACCGTTATCCTCGGTGAAATCAGATTCAAAGAGCATACTTCACACCCTACGCTCGCGCGGACCCTGACGTCAATGAAATGCCACGATTATAGTGTGGATTTCAGGACTCTCACATTTAGAGGTGCAATGATGTTGCCAGATCTGGTGTAAAGCGCTAGTTGTGCACACATTGTGTCCGATTTCAGTGTGCGTAACTGTAGAAAGAGCACGGAAGAAAGCTGTAACCAACTGAGCTGAACACCCGTTCAGTTATACGGACAAAAAAGAAAATTAATACAAGATCCAAGTCTAAAACAAAAGAATTATCCTCACTTCTCCTCCACAGGTCTTACCGCTGTCGCCTCTGTCTCATTGTAATGGCTGTGTTCTGCTACCGTCACGTCAGTGTCTGCTTCTGCAGTTTTCTCGTTTCTAATACGAGCACGAACTGCAGCGTAGGAATACTCCTGTGAAACAGCCTGAACAGAAGATTGCAAAATTAGAGGCCCCATTCGCCAAGCTGCAACCACGCTAAAATCCTCGTCATTCAACATGTGAAGCTGCTGAAAGCCATCTCGTCGTGCAAAATGGGCTTGAATTGACCAGTAAAACGAGATACTAATTTGAATTGCGTTCATTATGTGCATGAGAGTCAGCACTCTACTCATTTTTCTGTACGTAATCTCGCTAATTCATTCTCTCCTCTTCATGTCAATCCTTCATTCAAGGCTATGTTTAATGGAGATTACACTTGAGTAAATGTCATAATTATAATTATACTTTCAAAAAATTATGTTTGTTCCTACTTCTCCGTACCTGTTCATCGTGATCTTGCGGCCTGTGGGCTTCTCCTTCATCATTGCGTTGAACATCCTCGTACTGGTTAAGTTCAATTGGATCAGCTTCCTGTGCGGGAATGGTACAAAACCGCTAGAGTATAATAGTCAACACTTTACTTGTGTGTATGTAGAATATTATGTCGCTAGGTTACCTAGGGCTCCACAGATTCCCCTTCATGCGATATAAGGAGGTCAAAAATTTGTCTCAAGAACTAACTGCATGGAGGTAGCATTGTCCAACCACTGAAATGTGATCAAGAACGCAGTCGTCCACACAACCGCGGGGTACGAAGCTATGTTGCGACGCAGAGTTTCAAATGGATCAGGTCACTTGACTCAGAGGTTCATCGCAGCTTCCTTTGGCGCTTTCTTGGCCAGTAAAGACAGCACTTCAGTATCTCCCAGTAAACAAAGTCACAGTCACCACTTCCGCTGCATAGCTCGCTGAGCATCCCATTGCTTTGTAAGTTGCTAATCCCTTCCCACTTTGTGTACGTGCTCTTAATTTTCTTTTTTTCTCTTCTTCCGTGGTTGGTCTCACCCTCTCCTCAATTCAATTGGCTGTCTTGACATGCCACGAGGTGCAGAAATAAATAAAAAAATAAAATAAAATAAAGAGCTACCTATACTCTACCTAAGTAATTCTAAACTGTTCGATGGTTTTTCTCCGAAGTACAAAAGAGGTCGTGGTTGGCCAGCATTTTCCGCTTTTGCGACAGTGCTAGTTTTTCAAAAATCATTTAACATTGAGGTGCACAGTCAAGGAGAAGACGTAAGAAAAGACAAAGCCATAGAGAAGATGCTGCCGCAACATTACTCGCAAGGCGTACGTGGATTTACTTGTGCATAGTACTCAATAGGCGATACTGTGTGATATTTAGACCAAAACAGATGAATGAGGACAGATAAGGTGCATAATGTAAACGTGTTCCTCGCTGCACTCACCTGTGGCCTCTCTTCTGGAACTGATGATTAGAAGGAGAGCGGAACACACAAGAAAACATCGCATGTAATAGTAAATTCCCTGTCGAGATTGATAATTGATATTCCACATTGACTCGTGAATGTATACCCAGCATTTCTTGTAGCGTTAAAGCACAGAATTCACATTACTTCGAAAACACATGCCCTCAGCGAAATTCATGCTGCTAACATGACCACATTGGTTGACGTTTAGAAGAGCGGAGAGGGAGAGAGATCGGGAGACATACCGAGAGACGAACAGGCAGGGAAAGAGAAAGAGGTTTAGAGGGACAAAGAGACCGACAGAGAGAAATGGTAAGTGACAGATGAAGAGAGAAAGAGAAGGGAAGACTGACAGAAAGAGGTATAGGCTGAAAGAGCAAAAGGTCAGAAAACTTCTGAGAGGCAGACGAAGGCATAGAAATATGGAAACAAAGATAGAGAGCTGCATTTTTATCTCCATACGATCCCAATTAAAATTAATATAATGTTATGCAAACGGTGAGGGGACAATAATTTGATAACCGCAATCAATAAAATTAGCTAGACCGACATTTGTGTACTTTGTTCATGCAATGGTAAACCAGTGGAGACGATGTACACCATTTCTTCTTATTTTCATCGTTTTATTGCACATCGACTAGATGCTTTACGCCCTGACCCACGGTCCTACTTCAACGCCATCAACAACTTACGCCAACTACGCTCTGGGAAGAAGGCTGCGCCTGTGCGTCTTGCTGACGCAGACGGCAGAATCATGGCAGACATCTCATGGAATCTTAATGCCTTTAATGAATATTATGAATCGGTATTTTACACTGATGGCCAGCCACTCGACCTCAGGCAGCAATCGAATGAGGAAGATCCATTCACAATCTAAGAAGTACGGTCTGCAATTATCAAGCAGAAGTCTGGTGGTGCTGTCGGTCCTGATGGTATCAGTGCTGATGCTTTTAAGTCAGCTAAAAACCTTTTCGCACCCTGGCTGACGAATTTCTTCAACGCTGTTCAAGCTACAGAGTACTGTCCTGACGACATGCGCTGCGGCCTCATCGTTCCCATCTACAAAGCCGGCAAGCCTCTGGGACATCCAAAAAGCTACCGCCCCGTTATGCTCCTTTCCGTCGTCCGTAAGATCTTGACGTCAATACTCACCCGACGACACACGCTCCATGTGCAGTCATATGTGGCAGAGAGCCAAGCTGGTTTCCGCCCTGGCAGATCGACCACGGATGGTGTCTTTTACGCCAGGACGATGTGTGAGCGAGCACTACTTGGCGACTGGTCGTATTTATCGGCACTATTGGACTTCAGCGGTGCGTTTGACACTGTCATTCGTCAGGTTGCTCTGGAGAGGTTAGCCACTGCTGGCGCACCAACGTCCACCACTGCAGTCCTAGTATCAAACACAACAGCCCGCACGAAGCTTGGTAAACAACTAAGCAAACCATTTCCAACGAACATCGGCGTCGTCCAGGGTGACCCAATGTCACCAATAATGTTTATAACTTACGCCGAAGGTTCCATGCGTAGGATCCGAGAGCAAGCTCTACCCGCGTCAGACCTACCAGCAACTTTAACACAATACGCAGACGACACCACTGCCCATCAGAACGAGCGATCATCTGTGGAAGAAACCGTCCGTGTGTGTGAACCCGTTTTCTCGGATGACAATCTGAAGCTGAACGTGGCAAAAACTCAATATTTCACTGTGACCAAGGAAGATGATTCCTGGAAATCGGTGAAGCTGCTGGGGAGTATGCTAGGCACAGCAGAAGACATAGCAGCCAGAGTGTCTGCTGCAAATCGGGCATTTGCAAGCAGTTTTCCTGCCTGATATTGCCTGTCTTGCTGTATAATTGTGCGCTTTGGACCTTATCGCAAACATTAACCGACGTCGTCAATGTATGGCACCGGAAAAAACTACGTACCATCATTGGTATCACGTACCCACAACGAATCTCGAACACAGCGCTGTATGCCAGAACCGAGCAGACCCCACTATCTCAAGTCTGCAGGCAACGGAGACTGCTGTGGTTCGGCCATGTAGTGAGGGAAGGCGAAGAATCGTCCTCGTTCCAAGCCCTCCTAATGTCAATCAACACAACAGACATACGACGACCCCGAGGACGACCACGTCTGAGATGGATCGACGTTGTCAAGAAAGACTTACAATGCATTAATCTGTCGCTTCTGGATGCTGTGCAATCTGCTTCTGATAGAGCTGCTTGGCTCGAAATTGTTAACAGATGCGTTGACCTCATGCAATGAGTGAAATGCGAACTGTCATTATTATTATTATTATTATTATTATTATTATACTGTTTTTACATTACATTAATATCGTACACAAATGTCGGTTCATGTTGAGTGACCTCAAACATTACACTGCGCTCCTTAGCCGACTAGACGCTCCTGCACACAACCATCACCATTGCGAGGACACTTCCGTACATGATATTGATAAACTCCTTCAGACAGCTGTTTCGCTAATACATAGCTCATCAGTGAAGGTAGATGTTGATTGATTAAAGTGTAGACCAAACTGCTATTATAAAAGGTTTCCACATACAAAACTGGCATAACTCAGATTATAACGCGGGAAAGTGTGAAGTTTTGTTGACGCGCATGGGACATGCATGCAGCGTCAGAAATTCGGCACGGAAAATCAATCATTATGACTATCAATGCAGAAATAACGTGCCAGAATAAGTGTACTGCGTAGCTAGTGAGAGTCTGTGTATGGCTCTAGTCCGAGCGCCATGAAGGCCGGCAAACACACCTCACGACTCGCCCACGTCAACAGCCACAGCAGCCCCTGAAGAACTGTACTGGTCGCCCTTCGCGCCAAAACGCTTGGCACTCATTAGTATTCATGCCACCAATGTTGTCCGCAAGCTACCTTGTTATCTGCCCATCACCCAATGCCGCTGACACGCTGCGAGGCCTCGCGGCATTCACCCAGTATATCGTCGTCAGATGTGTGTGGACAGTACAATAACGCTGGTAGAAAAAAACAGTTGGTCGTATGGTATTGCGTCCTGCGGATTGTCCCTTGACTCGTCTTGTCCCTCTTATTGCTCTGACGCGAGGGGCGTTTGCCGGCCTCCACGGCACTCGGACAAGTGCGATACTCAGACTCTCACTAGCTACGCAGTACACTGATTCTGGCACGTTATTTCTGCACTGATAGTCATAGTGATTGATTTTCCGCGCCAAATTTCTAACGCTGCATGCATCTCCGATGCGCGTCAACAGTGCTTCACACTTTCCCGCGTTATCACCTCAGCTATGCCAGTTTTGTATGTGGAAACCTTACAATTATAATATCAGTTTGGTCTATATTTAAATCAATCAACATATACCTTCACTGATGAGCTATGTATTAGCGAAACAGCTGTCTGAAGCAGTTTATCAATATCGTCTAAGGAAGTGTCCTCGGAATGTGGATGGCTGTGTGCAGGAGGGTCTAGTCAGCTAACAAGTGCAGTGTAATGGTGGAGGTGACTCAACACATTTTCTTCAATGGCCAAGAACTCTGTGGCACCCTGTAATAAATGTCAGTTCAGCTAATTGTAATGATTGCCTTTATCATAATATTATGCTTTAGGATCTCTTAGGGCAGGAATCCTTGACTAAACAAAAGCTTTTCTAGCTTCAGTGAAGGGGGCATTGCAGGATTTAGCGCTGTTTATACTGAGAAAAAGAATCGACCGTGCATTGAACACAAAGGCTTCAAGACAGGGAGGACAGTGGATTGTGTACCTGTAAAATCTTTCGATGAGAACCAGCGAGAAATCCTTTTTCGGTTGGCCGCCATGGCTACAGCCAGGATTACAGTTAGGACTCCTGCCACAGCTAGGCCGACGAATCCTCCAACACTGATCCCGCTGGTGCTTGCTTCATTGCCCGAGGTCGGGGGTGTTGTTGAAGATGGCACTATAAAATTGGCAGATAACAATGTTGACAAGTTCAGATGTATATATAGTGACCAATGTAGAGACCAAAAACGATATCGTTTTTCTGTGTAACGAAAAAAAGATTGTGTCTGTTGTTTTCAATTTTTGTGCGTTTGCACTGCCCTTGCTAAGGCCGCACATACCTTGTGAAGAAAGAAAGCGTTGATTGCTGACAACATGTAGCTAAACACTTGGCAATACTCATAATCTGTTTTGCTAAGTCATCCATATTCTATTTTACGCATAACCTTGACACAGAGGTTATCATGTCTGGCAACACTTTCAAACTTAGTGTAGGTAGTTTTCCAAAATTTCATAAGTGATATTTTTTAAATGCTCTGACCTCCAAAGTGCCGGTTATAAGGATTTGCTTGCAACTTTGTTCAAACCGGGTTGCTGTGTTATTCACTATTGTACTCGACTTGGAAAGTAAGGGTTCGAAAGGCTTATTCGAAACCATATCGCTTCCCTGCTTCGTGTGATGACCTTCTAAGTGCTAGCCACATCCAAAGCTACGTACAATGCTTAAAACAAAATTCATCCTCACCTGTGGGCCACGTGGTAATGCGAGTGGAGCTGGACTGGTCACTGTCTCCATAGGCATTGCTAACATACGCAATGACATTATAGCTCATGTTGGGTTTTAGGCCAGGTAAGGTGACATTTTTCGAGGCGCTGCATACTGGTACCAATGGCATATTCCCGGACAGATCATTAGCAGGTATTCCGTGCACACAATACTGGCGTGTGGGAAGGTTGCCTTCTTCTATTTGCCCTAGAAACACCGTGATAGTAGTACTTGAGATGACGGGGTTGAGAGGCGGATTTGGTGCTGATATAAAACACATCCACATCACGTGTAATGACTAAGGAAATTGTTTTGTTAAGAAGAAAATTAACCAAAGGATTATTATCATTCATATTTTTCTTATTCTTCGTTAGTTTGAGGGAAAGACACAAATTATTATTATTATTATTAATTTAGCACTGCCGCGTTCAAGTCTATGGATCAATTAGGTCCACTCATAGTTTCTCTGGTACCGTATAGATTCAAGTAAGGTGATAATGATGTTGAGCTACGTGATAATGGAATAGTTTCCAAATATACACCCGGTGTGACAAGGGAAAAGACTGCATGCAAGGCAGTGACTAAGGATCATGCACGTGAAAATAACACTGATAAGAAACTATTGTGAAAAGAAGAAGGACAAAATGTTACGAGTTATTCCTAACTGTCCCTCAACTCGTAACATTGTGTCCTTCTTCTTTTCACAATAATTTAATAAGCTCCACATCCGAGTTAAAAAAAGAAACTATAATCGTATAATAGGTATGAAAAGTATGAATGCCGAAGACATCACCATGCAACATGATAATTTGTTCAAGGTTTGGTTTTGTTTGTTTCCAAAATCGATTTTCATGCTCCAATCATCAGTGGAAATACGGGCCTAAAGAGATCAAGGGAAAAACAAAGGTGAAAAATCCAAAGAAGTGTGACACATGACGGGTAACTTGTGGTAAGTATTACAAAAAGTGAGAACTAAAATAAAGAGTAAGTGTGACAAAAGGGCATGAACAGTGCAGAAACCTTTTAACCTTTGTTTTTCCCTTGATCTCTTTAGTTCCGTATTTCCACTGATGATCGGGGCGTGAAAATCGATTTTGGAAACACACAAAACCAAACCTTGAACAAATTGTCATGTTGCGTGGTGATGTCTGCGGCATTCATACTTTTCATAGCTATTATTAAACTTTTCACTCACAAAGCGACTGTTCAGTACATGGGGTAGTGGTCTACCAGAGCAATCACACTCACCACCGTGGTGGTTTTCCAGAAACGAGTAGAAGCAAAAAACCACACTCGCAGCCACATAATAGATAAATAGCTGAAAAATATCTAAATCCATCAAAGAACATGTCTCAGAAGCTCGCAGAGTTCGCCTCTACAACGCATATGTTCTGCCGACCCTATTGTACAATTGCTGTACATGGGGATCAACAAAGGCAGTCAGTGACATGCTGGACGTGTTCCACAGGCAACAGCTTCGCTCGCTTCGCTCGCTGGCTACATTACCCCAATTGTATCACAAACATCGAGTTATACCGGAGATGTCAGAGCCAGCCCATCTCCGAGGAAGTCCACAGACGAAGAATGACCATGCTGGGACATGCCCTACGCCTACCCGAAGACACACCACCGCAACAAGCCATGGCACTCTACTTCAATCCACCGAACACAGCCAAGCCAGGAAGACCTCTGACTACTTTAGTCACCCAGATCCAGCAAGACTGCGTCCACAGACAAACGCCACTCAAGGGGAGCCCGCATCTGCAGAGCCTCCGGCAGAAGGCATCCGACAGGCAAGTGTGGAAGGCCTTCGTAAAAAACGCACAGTGAACACTGACGAAACAGAAGTTGCCCATCCTTCTCAGTGCTATTTGCTTATTGTCGATTTGTAAACCGTACCTTGCAGTCCATGTCTTCCCTTGTCATCATCATAATAGTATAGTTTTGTCTCTCTCCTTCTATTGCTCAGGAACACAGAGGCGGAAAGAGGCTGGTCCTCAAGTACGCGAAACTGTTCACAATAATAATAATCAAAGAACCGCCAGCAAGCGGGAGAAAAAGGCGTGAAATCCAGTGAACAGCATGGCCAGTGGTGAGCATGGGTGACTGGGCAGCAGGGGAGCGCCTGAAAAACAATGACTCCCTACATTCCTAGCCGTGACCGCTCAACCGGGCTAGAGGAAAAACACGCCTTTTGGCCCAAAAACCTTTCTATTTCATTAATTCCTGCCCCACTGCCAGTCGGACCCAAGAATAGGTATAGCAAGAAATGGTATGTAATAACCGGTGTATGTCATAATCATAAGCCACACACATAGGCATAGATTGTCAAGAAGAACAGCGGACGACTCCCATGAACCCAGGGTGAGTGGGCGGGCAACTTCAACTACAACGAGGAAAAGCAAAGACCACGATGGCAGGTTCAACGGAGTTGCGCAGAACAAGAGCAAATGCACGAAAATATTTGTGAGTGAAAAATACGTTTTTTGCACTCTTTCGCTACGCTCAGCCGTGAAAAAACAAAATTTTTATCTCCACGTAGATTATTTCTGTAATCGTATTTTCATGTTTTCGCTTACACCTCTCCCTGCCAACGAAATAATTTGGGCACATTTGTGGCTATACCCTAGATCGAATCAGCAATTCATATTATGTGAGGCGTGACATGGAATGTCATTTGAGGAAATCGATCGTGGCAAAACGAATTTGCCCGGAACAATAAGAAGAATGTTCATTTCACCAAATCCTTAAAGAGTCACGCAAAACTCTTAACTCCTGACCCTGTGATTGTCGGTATAATTATGATGTAACCGCATCCCTTACCTTTCGGCAATGTTCCAATTTTGATTTCGGAGGACATGCTGCTATTGTGTCCGATCGTAGTCTTGAAGAATGCTCTGATCCGGTACAAAGTATTTGTTGCCAGGCCTGACAGAACAGTTGATTCATTTTTGTCGCACACTACCGTCGGGGTAGCCGCAGTTCCATTTTTCTCGTACAGAAAGCAGAAATCAGAAACCCAATGTCGAAGTATCTTAGGCTGTACTATGCGTGCGTAGATGTGCGTGTCTGTAGAGTTGACAGCTATGGCGGAGGGCGCTACAGGGGAAAGAGCATATTGAAGAACGCATGGAATACCAGTGAACAAGACATATACAAGTAAATGGTTTTTAGTTTGTCGAATATCACCTTTCTAATGCAAGAATAGTTGTATATGCACGGACTATTTGACTGCTTCCAGAAAATCAGAATTCAAACAGATTTTCGAACCGAGACTCCAGCAATCTTTAACAGGTATATAAAATATATAGATAGGAAAGAAAATGATCCAGGAAATGCAAGTTACGCTATATTGTCCATTAACAACAACATTAGTTGCTTGGCTATCAACTCATGCAATGCAATTGAACGACACTGTTGAACAGTACTGACGGTCAACAACCAATTGCCAGTAAACTCTAGCACGTATTCGAGCTTCTATTGGAATCGCACTCCAACCACCTTCCAACTTGAAATGTTCTAAGTTATAGGAGTAGGAGGGGAAGATGCGCGCAAACAAGACTGAAACGTGAAACTCTTAGATGTGAAGGACGTTGGTGGAGGTATATGCAGAACCTTGCCAGAGTGCTCAAACTGACAAGTCAGGGACCTCTGCATAACGCACACAGCAAAGACAAGAGCGCTCAACTGCTTCAAGAGCAGGAGCAAAAAACTTCAAGTGGGGACAGAACTATAATAATTATACTCCCATCGCGCCCATCTTCCTGTCAGCTTTCGCTCTTCTTCCTAAAATGCATTATATCTTGTCACATGTTAACTACTGCCGTATTGCCTGGTCAAATCTATCGTATTTACTGCCCAAGAGAAAAAGCTGGAAATTCCTTAACCCTAGAACAGCCAACGGTGTCACTTGACACCACGCGAGTCAAACTTTTGGAATTACTGAAATATGGCTAATCAGAATAAGCTCAAATCTTGTGACTTTTCCTAATTTTGCTTCCTCTTTCGTCTGCCATAAACCTTTGATTTGTAATTGATGAGGTACCATAATGGCGAGTAGGTATACCTAGAACGGCCAACCAGTGTCATTTGACACCTGCACTATAAAAAGCCATTATTGCAGCTAGATAGAAACAATATGAACACATTTCGAAGGTGTCGGCCATATCGAGTTGCTCGTATGCCAACCAGACAAAAGAAAGGTGCATGGGCAGGAAAATCGCTGAATACAGGACGAAATATATGATCACCATACAACCGTCGGGCGAGAATTGCGAATTTGGGGCGGGTAACCATTAGTGCACAGATTACACAAACACTCTTCAGCTAATGTCCTTGATACTGCTCATTCCCTTTCATTTTCCTGTAAATTGCCCCAGAGGAGCCATCGCGGTCTGACGGCGAAGGAAATGCTAGAACAGATGTAGCCTATGACCATGCATGAATCTAATGACCAAGAAAGCGAAATTGCCCACTTTATATTCCTTTGAAAGATGTTCAAGTGTAGTGACCATTGGCAGTGGTGGATCTGGTCTGTCATATGAGGGCGAATTGTACTGTCACAACATCTGAGTACCACCTGTGGATTCAGAATGTGTTGAGGTTTACGAGCCTCCAGTCAGCGGACGAGGATTGCGGGATAGTCCAGACAAGGAATTGTCAGAAACAGTTGCAGGAGTGGTGGAGACCCATAAATGGATAGTGTTGAGGAAGAGGAATCGCAACTCTGCAACCTGGAGATGGTACACCGCATTATCGCAAGGATGCAGCTGTGTAGATAATCTTTTCTAACTACTTGACGAGCTAATAAGGCTCTTGAACCAAACCTGTTCCTCCCCCGCTTCAGGGTAAACGGGTAGGCAGCCGCTGGGATGCCTCCTCTCTCTTTATTGGCCCCAGATGCTGCAGAAGGTGATTGCTAAGTCATAACTGATAACTTCATCATCAGTGCATTACTGGTCAAGAAACTGTTGGAGAATAAAGAGTTGCAATATGAACCACTTTGGGAAATTGAAGTGAACTACCATCTAACCTCATTGCCAATAATCGTGGATTGCATTTTGTTTTTCAAGATTACATTGTAGGATGCAAAGATGGTAGACATAGAAGGTAGAAGTAGCAAGAATGATCAATGGTCCGCCTAGTGTAGACCACCTAGAGCCATATGTCTTACATGGTGAGAGTAGGAAGCCCCACATCGTCCAATTCTAGCAAAACACGAGATAATTACCCTTGACCGTTTCGATGGAATGTGGTGGATCTACTCAACAAAGACTATTCCAGAAGATGTCCTCCTGCAAGGCGGTTACATAAATGAATAGATGTGACAGGAATCAACGCCTTCACAATATCCCAGACCTTTGCTAGTTCATGCACATCCGGAACACGCTCATTCCTGCACTGGTCAATAAGCTTGTAGAAAGTCATGGCATCTGGTTGTTATGTGCCAGCCAAGGAGAGGAGAAGGGTATACCTCTTTGAAAGAGTCTAAAATGCAATCGTTACTAGCCTAAACCATCTCTAGCAGCATATGTGTCAGCTTGGTAAAAAAAACGATGCTCATAGTCAGTCCATGTTTGTACTTGTTGCTGTGTTTCATTCATCGTGACGGTCGAGTAATCCGATTATGCCAAAAGCATATATTCCCCGAAAAGCAGTTCCTCATGTGCCCAGTGACGTTGACACATTGCTTGTTATTGTTACTCTATGATTATAAGAAATTCCTATGCAAGTAATTGAAGTTTTGCCAGTAATTGAGTTCATCCTTCGCAATTCCCGTTACGCGTACATTGTATTTTAGTTGCGTATAGCCAACAATAGTGTCTGGGTGAATGCTATATTGTTGTGTACATCACAAATGCCGCTAGTGATAGCCAGCACTGAAAACCGAAACTATAATAACCTATATCATAGGTCTTGGACATGGAAATGTTTGCAGGGGTCAAATGACACCGTTTGGCCGTTCTAGGAGTGCTGAAAGTGGTGGCCGTCCTAGGGTTAATTGGGTGATATCAATATTGGTTAGTAAAAAGGCGATATTCCTAGTGCCCAATGTGAATATCGCGTGTAATGCCAGCTAGTACGTGCTTCGGAACTGCAAGGGTCAAGATTATTTAACACATACCCAAGTCTATTTCGAGGAAATATTAAAGATAATTGTTGTGTCAGTGTCCGCCGGGAACTCTCGACGGACGCTAACCCCATTAGACCCTAGCGGGAGATGGAGCGCTTCAGGGAGAAACCCCATTAGCAGCACCCATGTACCCCTGCCAAAAGCACCCGACCACAAGTTTTCAACTTTTCCTTCTTCATTTTTCAATTTTTTTCTATACATTTTCGTACTCCCGAAGCTGGCTATAAAACCCTCCAATCACCGCGCAAAGTGGTAATTGCCTACCCGAGCCATGTCTCCCTAGGAATAAAACAAAGCCGAAGTTTTTGGAAGACGAAATGTACATCGATCGCGATCTTTGTATTATGGTAGTTGTGCTAATGATCACGGATCGAAAAATGTGCTTTGAATGGCCTTAGTGGGTTATTAAGTTTTATACAACCTTTGTTTACAAATTAATGTTACATATTAGCCCCTTTAGTGCATAGTTAGGTGAATACGGAAAGGTTGTTAGGCAAATATAAGAGTTGCCTAATGGGTGTGTAAAATAGTTTATACCCCTACCAAAAGGTAGGGATCTCATATTATGAGATCCCTACCTTTTGGTGTATATCTTTGGCAATAGAAACTTAGCTTCATTGAGCAAGATTCGATTCCAAAACTCTCTTTCTCGGGGAAATAATGTCCGCATTCGTTCCGTCCACCTCCTCCTTGTAGTGGTGCAGTAATCCAAGAAACATTGTTTGCTGAGATTGGAACAGGTAACATCCATGTCCAGGTTTTGGATTGAGATGGTCGTTGAAGAGAAACCCACACATTGCATGTATTGGTTTTGCAGATGTACGAGGAAGTCTTGCAGTTATCACTTGAAGAACTGTTACACTGACCGTTTCGGGGTCCAAGCAGGTCTCCTGCACACTCTCCATGATATCTATTCTGGATATTTGCAAGAATGCTACCTCTTCGGACACACTCAGCAGACGCTTCATCGTATGTCTTAGGTATTGGAATGTAAAGTGTTTGGAGGCTTCCCGATGCTTCTTGATCCTGTGAACATAAGTACCAGTTATCTGCAGAATTGACAGTTTGTATTCCAAACAAACACCTTTATAAAAAAATTGATATGATCCAACTTCGTAGACTGTCTCCAGTTTATTTCTGTGCTCCGGTCTTTATTCGTGAGTTTGTGTACTCGTTTTGCTGTTTGTTTGGTATATTTGAATTCTCACAGTAAACGTATTCTTCAGCTATTGTCTCCTCCCCCTTCTGAGTTTGACTCTCATCTGGCCTTCTTTCCTCCCATCCTCGGCCTTACATTGTATTGGGCCTCCACAGCCCTGAACTATGTCCACTTTCCTGGTTTTTGGGCACTAGCCTCGAGCTACCTCATTTTGATTCTATAATGGTGGTTGTTTTTCTTCGCAAATCCAAATGGGAGTTTCTTCCGAATAAGAAGGTAGCGAAGAACAGAGTATTGCAGGAACTATAATTAATACACTTCTGGCGGTGTTTCAAGCCATCCTTTCAAAGTCAGATAAAGTTCAAAGCCAAGTGTTTTTCTTGAGCACTTCAGAGTTTTCAACAAGTTAGCAGCGAATTTGTAGGTGCAGCTTCTGTGACATACCCTGCTCGACTTGCAACTGCAATACTGCGACCAGTCAAGTCGTTGAATGACACTTCGTCAGAACAATCACCGTTTCGTTCTGAAAGCGCGATATTGTGACACTGCAGACATTTCAAGAAACCCAGATGGATTCTACGACATTACCACATGGAGGGCAAACTACCATAAAGACGACTCATTTATCGAATATAGAAAGGAAAAGGAAATATAGATACGAGTTGAGAGTAACTCTCTATCACTGTAACCAGATACTATATGTTGGACTCATTAGAGCGTCCAGCCCCTATATAATGTCCAACCCCTATAATAGAGTCCATTGGTCCAAAATCCACTGTGCAGAGTCCAAACTTGGAATCAACTGTGAGCTCAAAGTTTAGATGGACATCACTCCCTGTATAGAGTCCAGCCAATTGGTTTCACCCCTATATAGAGTCCATTGGTCCAAAATCAACTGTACGGAGTCCAAACTTTGAAATCTACTATGAAGAGTCTTTATGTGGACAACACTCCCTGTATAAAGTCCAGGCAATAAGGCATCCCCTATCAAGTTCGAAATTAGACATAGGATCTGCTGTAAGGCCACCCTTTGTTAATTCATGGTTTAACTTCCTTTTTTTCGCCAAAAGGTACGCGGGAGGGCGAAAAAAAACAAAAGCCCATTCCAAAAACTGGAAACTGGAAAAACTGGAAACCCCAATCAAACATTTTGACCAGTAAAGCATGTGATATATACAATATATCTGGGTCTAACGGCACTTGCAGGCATAGAACAACACTCGTTGATGGTACATTGGAGCACATGCCTGATGAATCCAACAAAACAGGTACATAGCATGGAGTTAGCATGTCATGAATTCATCACATCTGGATTTTTACTAGGACACACACCGTAAGATATTTAAAAGCCAACAAAAAAAGAAAAAGAAAACAAGACAAAGGCATGCCCGGGAGGCAAGATTATAAGTTTAAGGTCATGATCGACACACTGTGAAACTACACAATCATGTATTTACAACTTCGCATATTATTGGTACTACTACTTTCTTGTTTTTTTTTTCCGGTCGCAGGCAAAAAGGTACGCGGGCGCGGACGTTAAACAACGAAAAAAGAAAGGGTGGCCTAAGCAGTGAATATTAAGCAGAAAACGGCCTCTCCCTTTAATCCTTTACATCATTTTACATCAATCAAGATAAAAAATAAGTATTGAGGCGCCACTGTAGCCACTTCATTACATGAAAAACCCTACAAACACCTTCCTCAAATCAAGTGGTCTCTTCGCCGACGCTGCAAATTACAATATCTCAATCATGTAGTGTTGCCGAATTTTTGTGCACGCACACACACTTGCACACACCCACACAATGCCAAGAAAATACCTAGAAAAAAACCAAGAATCGAAAGAGAATAATGGAGAGCCCAGGATTAATTATTAAATAATTAATCCTGGGCTCTCCATTATTCTCTTTCGATTCTTGGTTTTTTTCTAGGTATTTTCTTGGCATTGTGTGGGTGTGTGCAAGTGTGTGTGCGTGCACAAAAATTCGGCATTTTGTTTTCAAATGATTGTGCGCGCGCGCACAAACGCCCACACACACACACACACACACACAAACTTATACAATGCCAAGAAAACACCAAGAAAAGAGTAGAGACACAATACACACGCAAGTCCAACAGCCATGCAAACGGCCACCCATTTACACGTAAAGTCAAGAGGGATAACAAATAATTATACGAAACGAATGCATACGGGGACGGGTGCACGTACGTTTACATACACGTAGTAGTGTAAGAGAGTAACATAGTGCAGTGGTCAGCATAATACTAGCACATGCTGAGAGTGCAATAGCAAGCTTCACCATTGCTCATGGCCATGCAAATGTTCAGCAGCACTCAGTTCTGCAAGCTTCAGCACACCTGCAACAAATAGATAGCACAAGGATACGCTTATTACCTTAATGGTGCATGGGAGCACACAACTACCAAGTTCTCAACGAATGTGATGCTCAATGAAAATCCATCCACTCAAAGACCTGTGAACAGGTGACGGTGGGGACAATAATCTATTAGTAATACGAGGAATAAGATCGTTTGTGCACACTCAAGACGCACATGCACACCAACATACATGTAGTGCACACAGTGTTTCACTTCAATGCAACTAAATTGAAATGAAATGATTTAAACAGTCTGTACAGCGTTGCTGTCAGTCAGTCTTCCCCAAGATGGAAATGAAACGATTTGTTGTCACGAGGCAGTTTCACTGACACAATGTCATGTTCGTGACATCAAAACGGTTACTTCAGGGAATACGAGTATTAGCTTGAGAAGCTTTTTCTTGTCATTGGCATTCAAGCAATCCTCCTCCTACTACTAGTACACTGGCACTGCGTTTGTGGATCCCATTGTATTTGACATCATACTAGAGGAAGAGTGTCGTGGGGTTCACATAATTATCACAGGGATAAAAATACATTTCTCATGAAATATAATAATAAATGATGATAGCTAGACGATCTTATACGATTGATGCAAAGTCCTTGCACAGTTGCGGTCCTTGAGGACTATTACGAAGTGGTTGATTACTTTTAGGGCATTCATTCAAGCAACATCAAACAAACGCGATACGCTCCTTGAAAATGGAAACAAATTCAAGCATAACGACAGAACAGCAGACCAATCGAAACCAGTAAAAGCTTCCTTACCTCAGTCATCGTCCTGCCATGTGGTTGGACAGCCTTTTGACACGGTGGTACAGGCAGCTCTTGTCCAGTCAAACAGGGGTATCCTTGTGGCGACGAACGAAAGAGAGTGTCAGTGTATCTGACTCGTCAGATTGGAACTGTCCTGAACTTTTCTCTTTCTCCGCTTTCTGCTTTCATCCCTCGCTCTGATGAAACCATTCAAACGTCGTACTGGCAGCAATGGCCAGCCAAACAGGGGATCATTGTGGCGTCGAACGAAAAAGAGTGTACCTGACTCGTCAGATTTGAACTGTGCTGAACTTTTCTCGTTCTGCAATTTCTGCTTTCATCCCGCGCACTGATGAAACGTCTTCAGAGAATCACAAGACGCTTTCCAGATTTGATTTTGAACGTCTCCTTATCCTCCTTAGTTACCTCGAGACAAATTACTGTCAGCAACTGCACAGCAGAACTGGCAGCCATGGCTGAAGTGAAGAAAGGAATGCGCTGTCACGAGGCAAGCAAAACTGAAAATGTGTTTGTTCTCTTTCGGGCACAACACACAGGACGGTGTGAATGGATAAACTGGACTTCTGGACTGTGAACAGGGGATTCGTAGAAAAAGCGTACTCCTTATAGGGGATTGCGCGGCAGGATGAAGCTGATAAAAACTGAGTGGACTCCTGGACTCTGTATAGTGGATTTTGGACCAATGGACTCTATATAGGGTGCTGGACATCATATAGTGCATGGACTCTATACTGAGTCCTACATATATACAGTCAGAAAGTGCAAAAGCTAGGCACAAAACTGATAGAGTACTGAGACATTCGACGTCCTCACACCTAGCTTCAACACATCTCCGTGGCGCTAACCGACAGCCTTCCAAATAGGAAGGTTAAAGATTTGGGAAAGACCAAAGAGGGGAAGGCAAGCGCAACGAAAATGAGCACAAGCTATAGTCCCAACGGAACAAAGAATGTCGATTGTTACTGAACTATGACGAGACCAGTAGGATATTTGACAAAGTGGTATAACTACAATTCGAAGCAGCAAAGCAGCACACCACCCAACTTGGGTTTCTGACTGTATATAGTATCTGGTTACAGCGATGGAGAGTTATTCTTAACTCGTATCAATATTTCCTTTTCCTTTCTACATTTGTTATTGGCGCAACATCCGAGTTTCAAAAAATTATCAAATGGAAGGAAATTTTCCACAGAAGTTTTTTCTTTGCAGCAAGATAATGGTAATCGCTTTTGCAGAGCCTCCTTGTAAGACATAGGCAGTTTGTAGGTGTAGTATCCCTGCCCGACCAATACGGAAGCAGTACGGAACTAATATTTTGTTGAGCTCCGGTTTTCCCCTTCATTCTAACTCAAGTGCAGTTTAGCGTGTATTGGCTTGTGATTTCCTTTCTTCTGTTTCCTTGGCATTTTATCGCTCCACAGGTACCCCCGGTCTCAGGTGCTCTCACATTTGTGCAATTGTTGATTTTGGTCCTGAATTGTCCTCCCTATTGCTTTGCTACCGTCCTCCTCCTTCCTCCACCTTTTTTTCTTTTCTTCATTGGCCTCATTATGGAATTCGCTTCCATGTAATTGGGCTTGTAGCCCGTGTGTACTTGCGAATTCAAATAAAAATATACATACATACATACATACAATACGGAGCTTTGCCTGATGTATATTTAGTGTATCTCCGTATGTAAGCTTACGGCGTCTGCTGCATAAAAGCGGCTGCGCATTTCTGTTTTGATGAA